AAAGAGTATACAAAACCTGAAACTTCTTAATGTTCACCTAAAGCAACCTGACTCTTAACTTCAGCTTAGCTTCTGATGGAATACCTGGAATTTACTCTGTATTTTATGCTGCATGTCACTTTTTTTCTATGAAAATGAGCAGATTGCCTCTTCTGTACAGAGAAGTACGAGCTTCTGATCTAACCTGTTTTGTTGGTGATCTGAAGAAATCTGAGAACTGTAGTCTTCTTGACTATAATCACTCTTACTGAATGTACGGAATGTTCTCTTATTTGCAATTTATCTGCTGCATGTACCTGCCTGCTCTCTGCGGGTCAAACCCTGTGAAATAGCATTGTTTCAGCACTGTGAAGAACAGAATGGTAAATTAATATTATAGCTCCATAATGAAATAGTTCTCACGTAAGATTCCAATATCTGTATTTTACAGTGATGCAATAGTATTGATTTATCATTGATATCCATAATGCTGAACGAATAGTGATGGACTTCCTAGGAGTGGAGTGATGGGGCTCGTGCTGAAGCACAGAGTCAGACAGCTGAAGGCAAATACCATCTCAAGTTTAAGATTATTAGGTTTAGCAGGTGGCAGAGACAGTGATTTCAGTGTGAGTCATAAACACACTGAATATTCCTGCACCTTGCTTGCCTCTTCATTTTTATTTTTTTTTTAGCTCAGTGGAAGGCTAAATCCTGCCCTGTGGCAAGCTAAAGTGCTCTGACAGCATGGTTTGTGGTCTGTTCATCAGCTTGGCATTGAAGATGGCACAGGGAGAGCTGCAGCTAGGGCTGGCTGAACAAAGGTCTTTGCTCTGGAGCACCTCTTAACTCAGTGTCTCCCAACTGATTTATTTAACCCAGGATGGTGTAATTCATCAGGATTGTGACTCTCTCCAGTTAGCATTTATGTAAATGGGAGCAAGTTCAAATCAGGTGTGTGGTCAGCATTATCACCAGCAGACCTGTTCTCCAGCATTGCAGCACTGGCACCATCACCAACTTCACTGAGGCTTGCTGTATGCAGCCCTCATTTTTTGAGGCTTCATAGCATTGTTATAAAACATCACACAACAGTGCAATTGATTGTGACTGCTTTTTCCTCAAAGATGTTTCAGTTATACTCTGACAATAGTAAACTTCCTGAATAAAAGACGGAGGGAGAGGTGAGCAGCTTTTCCAATTGGAGTTGGTGGGATCGCTCTGTCAAGGCCAGACGCTCTCAGAGAGACCACAAATTCAGTATCTGCTGTCTCTGGCCATCCGAATAGCAGGGCCCCTGCCAGGCTGTAACATAAGGATGTCCCTTTCCTCCAGCTGCCTCTGAGCAGCCACCCATGTGATGCGGTGTGGAAACAACAGCTAAGGGTGGGAGCCAAAGATGTGTCACATGAACTCCATCCCTGGCTTGGTGTGCGTATTGACAGGATGCTGCCAGTCCCCAGACAGAGTCTGGGTGGGGTAAGACTGCTGCTCCAGACATATGCAGGATGGCTCTGGTCAAGAGGCTGCAGTTCTGTTCATTACAGCTCCTCTGCCTTTATGAACTGAATTTTGAATTTCAAATCTACATATAGCTACCAGGATGGGGGGAAGGGGGTAAGTGACCAGAAATACCAAAATGGCTGTTTTTTCATGAAGTATGGAGTTATTGCCTGTCTAGACTGGAGAAAGTTTTTTGTATTCACACTTTAAAAGTTTTAATTAAGTTAAAGGTTTGCACTCGTGCTGTCTAGCCATTCCCTGGTTAGTTCTATGAAAACATTCGCCTTGACATTTTGACAACTTTTTTTTCCTTTCATTTAATCTCTCATTTAAAATTGTTTTCATTGTCTGTGGTTTAGCAACTCCCTTGGTCTCTTTACACAGGCGAGGCCCTTTGGAGATCAGCAGCTCAGTGTGCCCCGCAGCAGCTCCCGACACCACCTTGAACTCTCAGTCCGAGTTGAGATCTTGCCTTAGATACTGTGCCAACTTGCCACCAGGTTTTGCAGGCAGCAATGCAAAACTTGCCTTCAGACTTCCACAACGTGCTTGTGGGAACATGCTGATGCCTTTCTAGCTTGCAGCTCGAGGCAGCAGGTAGAGGATGTGGAGTCTTCACTGACTGTGGTGCCCAGGGTATGCTGCTCTTGTTGTACCTCTTGCTACATACACGCATGAGCACTTTTCCTCTCCAAAAGATGCTCTCAGCTCCAACACTGGGAGCCCTAGACAGTTTCCTGTGCTGGGACAAAACTGTAGAGCATGAGGATGCTCTGGTCATTCCATGCATTGGCTTGCAGTCTGAGTTTGGTGTCACCATAGAAGAGAAATGCCCCAAATCATTGAATCAGTACAAGACTTAACCTCTCACCTTCAGTTTTCTGAAGGTATTTAGGCAGAAACATTTGCAATTGATTTAGGTTATAAGGATGCAGTCAGTGCTGCAGAAGTTGTGCTGGTACCTTTCCACAGCTCGAAACTCAAATAATTCTTGAAAATCTGAGCCTTTGTGTCTTACCAATCTATTTCGGCTCAAGTGGTTTTCTCTGCAGAGCTTTATTGATTCATCGGAGTGCACAAGGTAGTGAGGCCGGGCATTAGGGTGGCAATGGCAGCACTATGATAGACAAGCAGAGAGAGAAACTGTAAATGTGTTTCCAGGGAGCCATGACTCTGCTGGTGTCTGGAGAAAAAATCCTCACTTCTTTATCCTTCTACAACCTGCCTTAGGACTGCATTATGTCGAAGAATTGCTGTTCCAGTCCTACAGATTGCATGAAACTGGTCTTAGGATTTTTTTTTTTTTTTTTTTTTTTTTTTTTTTTTTGGGGAAGAGGGGAAGTGAAGGGTCGTGTTCTGTGGGAAAGCAGAGAAAAAGCTGCAATGTTCCTACAGACCAGACCCCCACGGGCAATTGCAAGTCTTGTCACTTCTTCCAAGCACTGTCCAGCACATGAAGTGTTGGGTGATGAGAATGAACCACTTGGTTTCAGTTTTGGGAAGTCAGAACGGAAGTGAAGGCTCGCTCCCTCTGGCCAAAGTTGTCTTTCTATCTTAGCATGAACCAGAAACTGAGAACAGTGGTGAAATTTTACAAGTGAAGGCTATCCAAAAATATAAAGGTTCTGCCTCATTTAAGACTGAGGGGAAAAGAAGGTTGGGACTGAATTTTTAATATTGTTTTGGAATCCAGGTCCCTCAGACAGGCAGTGTGCATCCTTGTGAGCATGAAGGAGCACTGGGGACAGTGCGTGACCTGGTGTCGCTGGCTCCCTTCTCTCACTGGTGACAATGTGTTTATAAATGGAACACAGCCCTAGTCCTGGGGTGGGAAAAGGCAGTTGGGGACCTGAGGACCAAACAGGCATCAGTTCTGAAAACTTTTCTCTGAATGGCAAGTGTCTCTATCTCTTTTTATTTTCTGTTTGTATAAGGTGAACTGCTGAGGATTAATCAAATAATAGCAAATATGAGGATCTGGTATAGGAATTAGGACTTAAAGAAATCTGATGAAGCAAGTAGCATATAGGGCTTGCTTGAGATGAGCATGACAAAGAAATTGGAGATTAGGGAGAGACCCTTGGGAATCCTCCAACAGAAGTTCTGCCATTGATTTCTTCTCACACTGAGAAAGAGAAAGCCAGGTCAAGAGACTGACAAGCAGTGTGTGCAGGGAAAAGTAAGTTGCAGTCAGGCTATAATCCCAAATCAAAAAGAGTTCAGAAGAAACAGAAGTGCTTAGGCTTGTTTATTTGTAACTGAATTCCATAAGTATGGACGTTATTCTCTGAGGACACAGCTATATTGATATTTCCAACAGTAAAAGCTAGAAGGAAAACAACAGAAGAGAAGAACAGGTCACACCGAGGTATCAATAAATTATTTGCTTTGCCATGCAAAAGAAGCAAAAAACTGTCCATAAACATCTTGATAAATTCTGCAGCACTCTGAAGCACAGCTCTTTCATTTTCTTTTTTAAATTTCTCTGAATGTTGGTGATAGGGATTTACTGCTACCAGTAGCTGTTTATTAATATTATGGAAATTGAATATTTTCTTGTATTAGTTCTTTTTCTATATTAAACTGCAAAATTTAGCCAGCAAACTTCCCTTTTCAACATATTTTTTTTTCCATTGATAAGAACATTGACCTTATTTTAAAGGACCTGGATTGGCATTTAAGTTTCTGGTATCCAATTCCTGTTCCTGCCACAAAATTCGTATTTGATCTATTTGAATAGACGACTTAATTTGCTGTGCCTTGTCTGTTTGTGAAAGATGACTTTTGGGAACATTGTCTCACAAAATTTAATTGTCTTAATTATTAAAATCCATTTTCTAGTTTTCAGAATGAATGTGTTTGCAGCAGAAGCTGCTGTATAATTCTGTTTTAATAAGAAACACCCTTGTTATGCAGGAAAATGCTTAACCCACTGCTGGTTGTGGAGCAACCTGACTGCGTTACTCCACCCCAGACCCCCAGCCCCTCTGCCTCTTGCAGATGTAAGAATAATGTAGAAGGATTTGGGTTGGATGGGGCATTTAAGATCATACAGTTGCAACCGCCCTGCTATAGGCAGGGGTGCTTCCCTCTACACCAGGCTGCTCAAAGCCTCATTCAGCCTGAGTCTGAGTGCTTCCAGGGAGGGGGCACCCACAGCTTCTCTGGGCAACCTGTTGCAGTGTCTCATATCCTTCATGGTAAGAATTTAACTGATGAACTGTTTTTTAATTACAAAAGATAATGGCAACAAGCATGTGCAGACTTCCTTTGTGCAAAATTGTTTCTGTAGAAGGTGTTCTGTTATGATTGCTGCTCATATTAATGCCATGTGTTATTCCCTGAAGGTATTATAAGGACAAGGCTTTCATGTAAGCTATTCCCTTCTTGCTGTGCATGGATTTTACTTAACTATTGCAAATAAAATATATTTACTCTTATTGTTCTTGAACAGATGTGCTTTAGAGTTTGTTTTTAAGCTGTATCCCTCCTCTCTGAAGTATTGCATTTCTTTCTAGTGCCAAGGTTGCAGCCGAAAGGTGTCTCCGATGAAGATGTGACTGTGCAACTGGCAAGCTGCTCATGAAGAGAGTTTTAAATGAAACAGGTCAGTGATATTTACATAATTCTGTTCTTCTGACTTAGGGGGCTTTTTTTCTTAATTGTGAGATAGTACGGAGTTCAGTTTCTTAAGTTATTTACAGAAAATCTTTTCTAAAGTTTTCCTGAAGTTGGCAAGAGCAAAGCTGGATCCAAGTGTTCTTTAAGCTTGAACAAAATGTTATGTGGAATACGTTGTCTGGTTTTCTGATAACGTTAGAGGTATCTAAGGCTTTTTTAAAATTTTGAAATATTTAAAGCCCACTTGCAAACCAGTTGCTGATTTTTTCTCTAGGTTTTAACATATCTCTGTGCATCTCACCTCCGTTAGAGCAACTAGATCTAGTCTGAGCTGCATGTGTAGATCAACAGGATGGCTTGAGGATGTTGCAATGCTAATAGATTGCAAATACCTGTGAATATCTCAGTGTTTTAAGGAAGCTTTCTGGGCTGGCATTTTGCTGCCAGGAGATGCAGACTCAAGCATAGTTGAAAAGATGCGTGGTTTCTACTTCAGATGCCTTAGTGCCTTTTTTAATCAATGTAGCCATGCAACAAAAGTGGCACTGAAAACATGCATGGTAGAATGATGTGAATGCTGTATTACATTCCTGCTGTTTTCATCCTATTTGTTTTCAATAGTAGGAAAAAAAAATTGCATGTACTTCATGTCCCGTATTAGAACTAGGTCTGACAGATTCCCATGGGAGTTAGTATCAGGCCTATATGTGTGTGAGGACAAACCATGTTTTAGACCCATTGGAGTTAGTGGAATTGAGATAAGATGTATGTGTGTGCATATATATACATATTTTAACCTTGCTTTAAAGTCTCTGGCATAAAAAATGTTAGTTTCAAGAAAATGAGAATTTAATCGGCTTATTGATTAATGCCTTGCAAGTGAAATTTCTTTCTCTTGGTGTTCTTTTTCAGGAGTACATTATTACTATTACTCTCATTTATAACCAGATCAATTTTAAGTGTTTAAAGAAAGATGTATGTTTATACTTAAGAACTAATAAACAACAAACAAATCCAAAACATGAGATAAGGCTCTGCCTTCTGGATTCTGCTGGGCTCCCAAGTGTCTAGTGCCAGCATGTATAACTGCAGGATCCTACTTTCTGATCAAAACGAGCATAACACAGAACATTGCCCTCAAATAAGAGTGCTATTCCCCTGTAGCAGTACCTTATAGGAATTAATCTGCTAGGCTCTCTTCTCACCCCATCAGCTCTTTCTTCTCCCTCTAACGGATGAAGTTCAGAAGAGCTGATCCTAAATAGCAGTTGCAAATACAAATGGTTAGGCTTTTTTGTGAGTGTGTGTGTGTGTGTGTCTTCCTTTTTTCCAGAAACTTCTCCGCACAAAGTCAAAACTGAGGCCAAATTCTCTATGTAAAAAGCAGCTATCCAAAGTCTTGGGCCACTGCTTATCTTGCTTCCAGGCCAAGCCATTTTTTGCTATTGAATTATTTACTTAGGATGAGAGTCATCTATAATTATCACAGAAGCATTAGAATCCAACAGGACTTTGAATACATATTTAAAATGTTTACTAGTGTGTGAGCATATTCATTTAATGCCTTGAGAGACTTAGCTTTTCATTACAACTCCACATGAGGTTTACCCTCACTGGTTTTAACTTTCCAGACTGTAAGATGCTTGTCTCGGCTTTTTATTCTGTCTGTTCTTTTGTTTTGTGCTTCAGGACTTGGCAATGAGATGTGAGATTCCCTTATGTGCACATACTGTGTGTAGTGTTTCAGGTTCTAATTTACACAAGAGACCATGGACTTTCCACGAAAGACTATGATTTGACGTATGCAATGGCATTGTGTGATGTTTGTTGTTAGCTTTTACCCTGTTTCTTTTCTCATTTGTGTGGATTGTACCTTACTATGCATGAAAAGCATTTAATAGCATTGTGCTGGATGTCTTGCTCATTAAATCCCTTTCGTAATTGCCGCACCCCTGTTGCAGTCAAAGCTAAACTGCACTAACATTTCCTTGTAGCTGTTAGATTTTGAAAAGCTTACTTTAAATAATTTTTTTTTTTCATTTGTTTTCAGCATTTTGAGCCTTTTTTTTTTTTTTTTTTTTTTTTTTTTTTTGTGGATTACTTCTCAGAATGAAAGACAATGAAATATTTAGTAAGCTTGCTGGAAAAACTCTGGAGGCAGGATTTATTAATAGAGAAAATTCATTATTGATGCTGTTCTCAATTGGTGGGCAGTTTTATTCCTGCTTACTTTTATTTTTTTTATTTTGAAGATGGCTTAGCTGGTGGCTACTCACTGTGAAAAATCGTTCCCTGTCTCCTGAGCTGACAGGTGACTTCATCCTATGTGTTTGAAAGCTGAACCTCATGACTTGTGCCTATCAACTCAGTCCCACTTACATCAGCTAAGGCAAACAGTTTTGTGTTCCGGCTTTTCACGTGTTTCTCCCAAGGTTACTTCAGACTGTTCAAAACTGACTTCTCTTTTGATGGCTGCTCTCTTTGTACCAAAGCTGCACAGATGTATTTCCATCACCTCTGCCCTGACAATGACTTCTATTTCTCCCAATACTGTGGTCTGTGGTCCAGCACTTCCATTGCTCCATGACAAGGCTGCAGCTGGGGATTCTGGGGTGGAAGTAGACATTTTCTTCTATTTCTCTAGTGATAGAGTTCCACGTACATACGTTGCTTGGATTTCTAGGTGTTTCTGCATTATGCCTTCTGAATCATTTCCAAGGGTTTTCTAAGCTACTAATCTTAACTTCACATTCTTAACACACACCTAAAGCATATGTGGCTGAAGTGATTGTTTTAGCAGTGAAGTGATACAAACCCAGTACTCTGTGATGGTTAGGAGCACAAAGTGCTGCTTTTAAATCTATTTCTCTGGGCTGTGTGGCTCAGGGCATCACACCATGATGTCACAGGGATTAAGATATTCATATGGGACATTCTAGTTTTTGATAAATAACAGTCCTTAAATGTACTGGTTTTCTATTCTTTGCCACCACTGACTATCCTATGTGTTTGATCTTGTTATTTGTAAATACTACAAGTAAATTCCATATGAAAAACTCAATACTCTGAATTTTAAGTGCTTTAAATCAGTGTTCTCAAAACCCCTCCCTCCCAGCGCTCTTTCCAGAATGCAGTCTGAGCAGTCTACTTCTTCATACTCTGCAGAAGGGCAGGGGAGCAAGTGCAGATTTGAAATCTACCTATATCTTCTGGAAAATTGAAGCAGCACAGCATATATACTATTACAGTGTCCCAACTCTCTTTTTTTTGCTTCTTCCTGTCCCTCTCTTTAATAATCAATGCTTCTTCATCCCAGCAAGGAGCACAGGACCCCTTTAGAAAACCTAGAAATCACATCCTTTTGGGCTCTGAGATGTACTCTAATGAAATTTCCTCCTTAGCCCAGACTTTTCCATCCTGGGTGAGTTGGTATTATGTACCTGACAACTACAGACATTAAGACACAACCCACTGAGCAGAGAGATTGGAGTTCTGGTGCAGATAGCTATTGTGCCTTGCTGTCCAGCTTGGTGTGGGAAATTACTTGTTAAAACAAGTTGTTCTCATATGCACCTGAATGGATAATGGATTTTAAGCAAAACTACAGTTGACCTGTTTGAGAAAGCACTTGTTGTACTAGTGGAACTTGTATTCTAGGTCCTTAATTTGTACTAATGTTTGCTAACTTTAAATCATTACACCTCTGAAAATCTTATGGCTGATTCAACTCTGGAGGTCACTGCCCTCCTCCTATGCTTTGGGAAGGGAATGAACCATCCCTTAGTAATTTCTTCTGAAATTGTAAAAGACCAAAATCTATTTCTCATTAAATTCTAGATCTGCTCTGACCTATTTTCTCATTTTATATTTAATAAGAAGTTTATAGAAAATAGACCTTTTCAGCTGTAGTAACCATACTGGTATAATGTTTTAGCCTTCCCATGAAATGCTGCTGCTCCTCATTTGGTAGTGGCTCTTGCTGCAGCAAGTCTCATTCCCTGTGCAAACAAATAGCTCTGAAAATATTTTCATACCAAATGTGCACAAAATTATAAAGAGTTTAGTTAAATTCACAATAAGACGTTCCTGCAGCGTTTCTGGACATAACTCATTGGCAAGCTTAGCTGGCACTTGGAGCCCAGAGAGCTCCTTCCACCCACGTCTGTGCTTCAGCTGGAGCACCGAGGAGCCGGCACCGTATAGCGGCTATCTCTGCTTGTTGAGCTGACATGAGGCAAGCTATTATCATATAAATGAGATAAGGTCTCCGACAACTGCGGGTTGAAAGTAAAACTGAACCAGATTGCTCATGGCTGGAAATTTTAAGTGTACCTTTCTGTCTTGAATTTTTTTTCTTTAAAGTCTGTATACTTTTTCATTCTATGCATTAGCCTACTCTCTAACCGATATAAAGAGCCCCTATGCTTTCCATTAGGCTAGCAGTTGTGAATCCATTTTTAAGGCTAGGACTTTACTGGTGCGTTTTGTTTTCCCCATGTTGGCTATTATGAAATCGGGATGCAAAAGTAATAAAACTGAGAATAAATTTGCTTTGAAGAAAACATGGATGTCGATCAATGTTACAATACAGCACAATTTCTTCATTTAATTTTTAGAGAGTTTAGGAGGCTCTCCTGGGGCTGAACTCCTCCTTTGGGGATTAAGAGCTAACCTGTGTTCTTCTGGTGAATGATCATGTACTTATCTAATCATCTTTGTGGCCTTGTTGGTCATGTAGAATCAGTTTATGTATATAGTTGGCTGATCTTTTTTTCCATAGCCCAGCATTTCCCTTAGAATTAGACAAGTGTTTATGAGAGTGTCTTGGGCTTCCAGGCTTTGTAGCAGAGGGAGTGAGAAGGAAGTGGTGGTGTTATGTATTGCCTTAGATATCTCACCTTGGTTCAACTGTATGTGTTTAGTTTCAAGTAATGGCTGCAGCTATTGTTAATATTAGTTGCATATTTAAGGGAGAAAAAAAATTCTGATAGTAATTAGTAAGTTATGGAATATTATTCTGAATAGAATAATATATAGAAGAATATCCCAGAAACTCCTTTTCCTGCCTCACTCAAACCTGTAATAAATACGTGGAATAACACATATGTGATGTATCAAAGGGCCGTGGTGTGTTGCATCTATTGGCTCTGCATTACTAAGTATAATTGGCTCTGAGGGTCCTTCTGGAGGCCACTGCTGTTTTATCAGACAAGTGTCTGGGTCTTTAACTTAGCTACTGAAAGTTTTTCCTTTCATTACTTCAAGTGTGAATTTTTTCTACATAGTGTCTCCTTGGGTGGTTTTGAAGACCTCTGCACATTAGTATACTAAAGCTAGAAATGAGTTTATAACCCTTTGATTAAACCAAATGGATAATATAAAACCACAGTGAGAAAAGTTTTTATGCTACATACATAACAACTCCATGCACAGATTTGCCTTTAATATATAAATAACTAAATTAAAGCTCAACTTGAATGCCACTAAATTCTTGGGATATAATAAAAACTCTTACAAAATATTGCCTCCTTTAAGTAGTATCTTTCTTCATTTACTGTGCTACAGTCCAGTATTTCTGTTTATGCTTGCTACTATTTCACAGTGTCCTTCACTTCAATTTGCCCTCAGCAAGGGAGTTGCTGAAGGGCTGATTTTCCTTTTTTCTTTTTTCCTTTTTTTTTTTTTTTTTTTTTTTTTTTGGTGACTTGGCAGAATGGCTAGAGAAATATCAAGCCCAAAGAGAAATGAAAAAGCTACACTTTGATTATCTACGTTCCCTACAGTATTATGAACTTTAATATAAGTTTTTAAACTTGAAGAAGAAATTTTTGGAAGGTGGATCAGATACTTCAAAGAAAACTGGCTCCATCTAAAGAATAAGGAATCTGTTCATCTGGAACACAGTGTATCCTCTTGGATATACGGATATCCAGGCATGTGAGTCATCCTATAGATGTGTTGCTGTCCAGAGGATACTGAAGCGCAGAGAGAGAGAACATCTGATGGCTTAAGAAGAAACATCAAAAAATAAAGGCAGAGTGAGTGAATAACGAATGTTAAGATTAATATTTCAGCAACTTATTTAAAGCTATCTAGTTGCAGTGCTTGAAGCATTAAATTTGCTTGGGTGACCAGTGTGGAAAATCAGTTTATTTAAAACGTTTTGCAATCTTGGAGAACTCAAAGTTTTTGGCCAGCCTAATTCATTATTGCATATATTGCACAGAAAAAGTATAAATCCTATGCATAGCAAAAATTGATGGAGAAGTAGGAAATCTTGGACCTGAAAAGTGTGAAGAACATTTAAGGAGATGGAATCTGTACTTTCTGTTGTCGTGACAGTTCTTTCTTTGCAAATAGGAATACATTGGAAATTTCATCATAAGATTTCTAAGGTCATTCAGACCATATTTTTTGCACTGACTAAAGTTAATGTGCAAGGCAAAAGTTAAACCATCAACCCACAGGAAGCCAAAAGTAGCTCAGTGATTCCAGTCTGTTATTGATAAATGTCAAAGTGTACATCATGACTTCTGAAATGGAGGAAGAGTGCTAATGCCCCCTGCATGGAGTTGCCTGCTGTGGGTTCTCAGCTGGAAGAGAATAGACTTGTGAAGGCATCGTCATATAAGCCTTTAGGTTGGACAAGATAAACTATCAAGTCCAGCCCTAAACTAGTTTGCCCCAGGTCCAGTACAAATTGCTCTCCCATCTTCCTTGTTCCCATTGTGAGAGGACCTGGGAGGGGCAATCCTTGAAATGCAGCCTTATCTAAATTCTTCGAAGGGTTTATTTATGTTTCAGAGAGGACTGGAGCATAGAACTCTGATATATTTGTTAAACACGGAAACAACTTCTCGATATTGCTACAAACTGATTCTTAATGATGAACCAAAAGGAATTAGTCTCCATCTTATTAGTTATCATGCAATGGCAAGCTTTTACATTTCCAGCCTCCAGGCTGTTTTGCATATGCATAGAACACTATGGTTTTTGTGATGTCGCAACAGAAGACCTTGGGTTTTAATGATTCCCTCTCCTTTTCTCTTCCACCCCTCTGGATGATAGAATAAAGCTTTTCTGATTGCAGCTAAATAGAACAGCATCCCCAAAGGCAGGCTAACAGATAGCTAAAGCTGAAGTATATAACTGATGCAGGGTTTTATATCCTCTGGAAAAAACTTTTGCCTTGCGAAAGTTTAACATTAAGCTATTTGCAGTGTGTACACTAGAGGCTTAAGTTTGATTGCTAGGTATCAGAGCTGAAAAGTAATAGAGGAAAAAAATCCATATTGTATTATTGAAGACCATGAATGTATCTGATGTTAAGGAATCTTCAGTGCAGCAGAGGATGTGTGCTGTAAGCCTTTAGATAACTCTATTTTAATTCCTTCCTGGTGTAAACAATACAGTGAATTCTGTCACAGACGTGGCTTTGAGCTCACTTGAATGTTTTCCTTCTACCTTCCTTGTTGGCATCTTTGTAGTATGAAAGGGGACATGGAAAGGAAAGAAAAAAAATGTTTGCTGCGAATGGAAGCATTGGTAACTCTCTATAAGCACTGAGTTCAGCAAGGAGAGGTTAAGAAACCTCTGCCTGTACAAATACCTCTGCAGCAGGCAGCAGATGCTTTTCTAGTGTTGCTGAGTTGGTGCCTGGAGGCCCACGTCAGCTCCAAGCTGCATGGGAGGACTCTGGTGGCAGCAGGCAGAGCCCTGATGCATTCCGCCATGACAGCTGCCTCCTTCATGTTGCAAGATCTTACCCTGCTGGGAAATGGTGCAGGCAGCTGAAAACAAATCCTTCACAGATTGGCATCAAGTTAGAGTATTTGTCAGCCAGGCTCTGTATTTATGGCAAGTTTGCTTGAGGAAAGCTTGAAATATTCACTGCCTTAGTAGTAATGTGCCATAATGAGGTGTTTTCAGGTTTTCCAATCAGCACACATGTTGCTCTGTTGACCAGATGTCCCTTTGAAACTATCTCATCTGAATTATACCTCCTTACTGTCAGCACTCACTTTTTCTGAACGTCTTAAATACAGCCCTAGAGTCATATTCAACCTTTAAATCCTGAACAGAGTGTAGTTATTATTCACCTTACAGTTAATTCTCTGACAGAATTTCTGCAGGGTATGAATTTTTTTTGAGTCTTCCTTATGGAGTTCTTCAAAGCTTACGAATAATCTTTATTTCTTTCTGCACTGGGGAACTTTGTTTCACAAACTTGTTAAGGTCTGACTGCGGAACAAATCATTAGTAGCGTAGATACTGAGCTACTAAGTCTTTGTAGCCTAATTAAAAGCAAGCTCCAACTGGAGCCTGTTTAGGTCAAATACCCTGTGTGATCTCACAGCAAAAACAACTGCTTCATTAGCAAATGACTGGAGAGTCACACTAAGCAGGACTTGTTTCAGTGCCACAGTAGATGAGATTGTCCCATCTTTGATCAGCCGACATAAAGTCAGCATGGGGATTGCTGTTGGGATGAGTTGGTATGTGGGTGATTTTTCCATCTCTCCACCAAACTAATGTGCAGAATATTGCAAGGGCATGCATCTGGGGGGTCAGATCAGCAAATAAGCCTTTCTCACACTGAAGCTATCTTATCGTTTCTTTTCACTGTGTGCTTAATGCCTTTTGTTAGAATAAAACTCGTAATTCCATTAGTATTTAGATTGTGCTAGTACCCAATTCTGAACACTTCAAAACACTTGACACTTCAAAAGTATTTAAGAGTTCTGAAATATTCATAAAGCTTCCTTTCTTGCCTTTAGCCATCTTTTTATCTAATTTGTACTCCTTGGTGTAATGATGCAAAGACTTGGGACAGTGTATAAGTCCGGAATAGAGGTTTTTACTGTTCCTCTGATGTGTTTGCCGCTTGCAGAAACTGCATCCTCAATTAAGACAACAGCAAAATTGTTGAATGTGATAGGTCTGGTACAGTCTTGGCATCTACAAAGAGTTGTATGTTGCCTCTTGAATTGAGCCATGTATCCCCATTGGTGCCTCTTACGCAATCTCTGCTCTCAGTTGAAGACTCCAGGTTTAGAACACAAAACAAACAGGCAAAAATAAATAATCATAACCAACAAAATAAAACCAAACTCACAATGCAAAGAGGTTGCGAAAATGCCTGAACATACCATCCTAAATGTTTGTTTCACACTTGTGCTAATTGAGATTTCTTCTCTGGTAGGTCATTGGTATAAAAGGGTTAAAGTTTGCAGGGAAAAGTGATGGCAAAAATAAAAGTAAAGTTATCTATGTGTACAGATATACGGTTTCTAAGGTTTTACACAGCCAGTTCACCTCAGATTTTCTATAAGTATATTCCTTTCAACCATTTACATAGTACCTATGGCATTGGACTTTTGACCCTAGTTTGTGTAGTTCATTATGTACTCTGAAAACTTTCTGTGGTATCTGCATTCATTTCAATGTTTCAAGAGGGTTAAAAATCCAGGGTAATGTTTTTTTTTCCTTGTCTATTAAGTTCTTTGTTTTAATAAAAGGAGGTTTAAGTGACAACCTTGATAAAATGACAAGAGTTATGTAAGAGGTAGCAAGGCTAGGCTTTTATGAGTACTAAATGGAATCTATAGCAGGGTACAAGCACATACTACTTATGCTTACAGTAGAATTAAATCTGAACAAAATGCACTGGAATTAAATAACATAAAAGTAATGAAATGATGTTCATTCCAAAAATTCTCCAAATATATTTGATGTTTATACTGTAATGTTGTATTTTGACAAATAAGAAAAAGCTTAGAGGATATCTAGATCATGAAAGACTACTTAAAAAATACTAGGCAACTGCAACTTTATGTATCAATAAATACTTAGGCTTTTAAGAGACTTTAAAAGGTATTGTTGGCTATGAAATCATCAGTTGCTGTCTAGAAGAACAATATTTGCAGCACTTATTCAGTAAAATGTGTAGCATAAAACCCTCAGAGTAATAAACAACATAATAAAAACTGTCAGTGGCTTAATTGTTTAAAAGGTGCCTTCGAGCCTGAAACCAAGACCACATAGTTAGAATAATGACTTAAGATGTTATAAATTTATGTTCAGTTATTTGCCTGGCTGTGGATGTTTTCTTCATGACCTGTGGCCTGTCTGTTTGTAGCTCTGCATGCTGGTGTGGATATGCAGCTGCATCTCTGCTCTGCAAAGCAGATCCTTGCTTACAAACTGCATGCACACTTCTCGCTTTACTCTTGTGGATAATTAGCCATATCAGCTCCAGCTAAAGCACTCGTGATTTATCTATTTTATTTTACACGTGTGATGGGTGAAGTCAGTGCTTGCAGCTCTGCTGATAAATGGGACCTTGTTAAATAATGATATCTCAGCTGGATCCCAAAGCAGGGATGATATTTCCTCTCCATTTCCCACTGCAAAATACTTGAAGTGCCATATTACACCAGGGAAAAATGTTTTTGGTGGTTCTGGATAAGGATTTGTTTTCCTATTGAAATAACACTTATTCATGTAGAATATCTTCTTACTCAGGTTCAGCTAGCTATTAGTCCCCTTTCCATGTAGCTCTCTGCCTAAATATTTGTTTTACCAGAACAAAATGAACTAAAGCAAGTCTACATCCTACATTTTAGGACCCTCTTCTGAAGGAGGAGTCTTTTCCCTGGTGCCATGCACAGATGGGCTGCACTCAGGGCACTTACTGTAACTGAGGGCTGGTAGATGCCAGTCCTGATTTGGTCTGGGTGCAAGCTAAGGGGTTAATCCTTTCACGTTTTTGTATGTGTGTCTCACTGTCACTTGAGGTTGCCAAGCTGATGCCAGCATGCATAAGAGATTGCCACCCAGCAAGTCTCAACAGGCTAAAACTCAGTGTGACCTGAGTGACAGACTAACATTCAGTTCAGTGTGAATATATGAAGGGTAAGATGAAACTGGTAGACCTAGTTTTTAACTATCTAGATGAAAGGATTCTGGAATAGTGTTATATTTTTGGAATGCAAGTGTTGTATTTTATTCTACTTATCTACACTGTTGCTTCTTATCAGCACTGTTGGAGGGAGGATGTGGCTGACAAGTTAAATTATTTATGTATGAAAGTGGAGTTTCTTGATTCAGAGCTCTGCCTGGCCAGTGTTTGAGACGGCCCAACTGCCAGCTAAATCCTATCCTTCACTGCTGCCAGACATGTCCCAGAGAAAGGATTAGATGTATCTGAGGGATGTGAACAGAGAAATATGTGAACTTGTAGGGCATCCTGCTCTAAATTAAGTTGTAGTAATTGGTTTAGTTTTTTTATTTTTTTTTAATTGTTCTTTTCTGCAAGCCATGGGAAAGATCAGTCAGTAGGGAACTACAGTGTGTTCTTCTGAACGCTTGCCTTTTTCCTCAAATGTTCAAACTAAGGACCCCGTTCAATCATCTGTAGGTCCTTCACACACTTCACTGTCCCTGGATGCTACCATTGTCATTGTCTGACTTTAGAATTTTCCGTCCATCCACCGCTGTCTGCATCCCTCCACCTGTTAGTGAAGTGACACAGCGCAGATCTGAAAATGTGATAGACTAATGATATGTCTTTGTATACTTGAAGGATGTAGGTTTATTATTTTGAAAGGGTCTTTGTCAGGATTGTTGAGTTGATGTGCACAAAAAACAGAGGTAGTGAGTCCAGAATATTATTTCCGATGTAACCCACCTCCTATAGCATTTTCTGCCCAAATAATGAGATATTTGAGCCTTCAGTTCAGATATTAGCTTTTGGTCAAAAACGCTTATGGGTCTCCCTTGTGTTATTCCAGAATACTAATAGAATATGGAGTACAAGAGAAAGAAAAAGCATTAGCCTTTACTTGATTCTCTGTATCTTCACTACTGTTTAACACTTACCCAGCATTGGATCAGCCCTTGCTTAGGGCCCTTCCACTTCAGCGACCTTGTAGCACGATGCCTCGTGCAATGGAAATGTCTGGGCAATTGGCACTGAGCCAGCGTGCTTCCTCACCAGAGCTGTCGTGATCCTATCTGTTTATGTATTGCTATGGGGACACCACTTATTTTTCTTTGGATATGTATCTGAGCAATACGTGGTGTAAGCAGGTGTAGCTTCAGATGGTTGATATTTAAACTGATTATAAAGCTTTCATTTTCCCTGTTCGGCAATCTAAAGCATTATTTATAATTCTATTATAAAAGCTCCTGGCAAAAACTGTCTAGGATTGTGGCTTCAAAACCTAGAGACTAAACAATTACTTCAGGAAAGATTTCAGTGTGCCATCTGACACGCTGCAAATTGCCCAGCGTATATAATCCTACTAATGGAAGTGGAGAGATGAGGTCCTTTTATGCTCAGAATCAACAAACGCTGCAGACTAAATCTTGCTTATCTCGAACAGCGAACTAAATAGCAATGAGAACTGAATCTGACGGTTGGCTCCCTGACTCACCAAGTAAACACAAATAATGCCACATACTCTGAAATTGCCAGTGAAATCCTGCTGCTGCCTTTCATCAAAGAATCACTAAAATCTAGTTGTTTCCTTTCCACAAACCCAGGCCTGCTTGCATTTTTTTTTTTTCATGCTAAATTTTTGTTTGTGCTTCAGTATTAGCAACAGTATTCCATTTGCCCAATTCATATAAATGCTTCCACTTCTGTTTTCAATCTCTACGTAAAAGAGACTCTTCTCTGTCATGAGCTCTGTTACTTTTCAGGAAATAATATTCAAATATTCCTTTGAGAAATTATGTATTACAAAAAAATACTAATGAGGTCCCAATGTCAGACCTTCAGAATTTAAGAAACAAAAACTATCGAGGCCCAATGCAGTCTCTGTTAAGCACAACTGTGCGCTTTTGCTGCTATCAAGTTTTCATTTAATTTTGCACTAAGAAAAAAAAGAACTTTGTTTTTCTCATTTAATAAGGGTTTTTGTGTATTACTTACAGATTTTGAAATTATCAATTTCTTATTTTGTAATTGTATGATTATTTTCCATTTTTGCTAAGGGAGTTATGGTTAGAAATGCAAAGTTGCCTGTGGACAAGCCTCAGAATGAAATGGCACACATTGCTGCTTGGAGACTGAAAAGAATCAGTGAGAGATGGAGATTATGACTTCTGCCTCCAACAGGCATGGGCACTGATGTTCTCACCCTGTCTTATCAGCTATGTTCTCATTTCCTTGGCCTGAGCTTTTCATCCTCTTTCAGTCACTGATCCCAAATCTGCCTCCCTTCTATACCAATCCAGAGCTTCTAAAGCATTTTTAGGGAGATTTTTTTATGCTGTGTCCCCCTGACTTCACACAATTTCTGGTGTTAGTGTTTTGTAATTGATATTTACAGGTGTCAGAAGTCAAAATGAATGTTTGGACTCATTCTCTATTTAGTGCTGTTGTCATCTTCTAGGAAGTAAGCACTTGCAGAAGTTAAACTGAGCTACTTTTACCATTTCTACTTTAAAATCAAAGTAAAACAAAAACAATATGGGTGGTACACTTGGTTCTTATCTTAGATGTTTGATAAGGCAGATGGTGTCTCTCTCACTAGGGAACATACAGATAATCATGGTTTGGGTTCAAAAGAACCTCCAGAAGTCGTCCACTCTAATCCTCTGTGCAAAGTAGATCTGTCTAGAACAGGTTGCTCGAGGTTGTGCCCGGTCATGATCCTGCATGCATTAAAGCCTGTGGATTGCTCCAGAATCTCTTGGACACTCCAGATTTTCTGAAGAGTTATCTGCTCTCCTCTGTTTTGGTGGGGTGTAACAGTTTGCCTTAATGGGTTTAGTGAAGATACAGGGGGACAGACAAATGCAGGAAAAGCTATACTGCAATTTGCTTTTGGAGGAAAAAAAAAACAAATAAATCCTAAATAAATGAAAAAAAGCCTCGTTTCCATCCCCACTTTTGTTTTTGTGTGTATATGTTTTTGGTTTGTTTTTTTTTTTTTTTGGTAGGTGATGTGTGTTTTAAAGTGCTGAGCTTGTAGAATGTGGAAGTGAACTCAATAGGTCACAAATAATTGCCAAGGAATTTCATACCCTTCTCAGAAAACTTCCCTGTGAGCTGCTACTGCACACCACACACCGTGGGTATTTATTCTGAAGAGAACCCACAGTGTTTCTAATGCCTTTTGTTGCATGTGCTGTGCATCTCCCGTCGTGTGATGTAATGCAACATGGCATGTGGTGTTATAAATAGAACGATGAGATCTTGCAAAAACCTGCCTAGCAGGCAAATACAATCTCTTTTTTTTTTTTTTCTTCTTTTTTTTCCTTTTTTCCTGCAAGGTGTGCTTTCTTCTCTTGCACCTTCCTTCTCTGGTTCCTGATGAGTGGCTGGGTTAGAATAGCTTTTCCTCCCAAATTCCTTTTATTTTTCAGCAGCACTGCAAAGCATTCATGAGGGCAGTGTCTTCTGTTAGCTCCTGTCTCTCCTATCATCTGTGTCCATGCATTTCTAATTTGCTCAGTGCTACGGGCAAGATGTTAATTTTAGTAACCTTGTGTAATTACTCTGAAGTCAGTGGAGTTAATGCTTGTGTACAACACTTCTCCAATCAGAATCTGGCTTTATGTTGTCTCAGTGTATTGAATGTAACAAAACCAAACCTTCCAGTA